AACTATTCAAAATGGAGAAATTGTTTGTGCTGATAAAGATGTGTTTTTCAAAAAGGGGAGAGAATATTAATTTGACAAGTTTACCTTTCTGAAGGAGAGATGTCTGGTATATCTTCGATTGTGCATGACGTTCAGGATTCTCCTAATCATCGGGAGGGGGAGATTGTAAAAGATTAGTGAAGGGTAGATTATCAAAGATATGAAGCAAAGTTCTTTCTGAAGATTATCACTCTATGTTGAAGATTTTTCTGATGAAGAGGGAGTGACTATGATCAAGGGGGAGTGATAGTAAAAATAATTTTTCATCTATTGTAAAAATGTGGAGATTTCATGTTGAAAAGAAAAAGGGGGAGTTTATTCTAAAGATTGAAAGAAAGTATATGTGTTTGTTAAAAGAGAAGATTCTTGAAAAAGGAAATTCAGTAGAGATTATCAAGATGAAAAATTGTTTGAAATTGTTCAATTCGGGAGAGAATGATTTAAGTTGGTAAAGAGTTGAAGTTGTTCAAAAATAAGGGAAGAATGTTTTATCAAGGGAGAGATTGTTTAAAGCCTTGAGATATCAAGGTGGAGATTGTATAAAGTTTTTCAAAGATAAATCTGGAAGATATCAAGATGCTGATATTTCTGAAGATTTTTTTAGCAAAAGGGTCTGAAGATTTTTTACTGATATGTTTTTGTTTGAAGATGCTCATAAAGCTTGAATCCAAAGGGGGAGATTTTTAGGTCCAAGTTTTGTACCTAAATCTGTTGTATCCAAGCTTTATGTTTTTGTGCTTATTTAGTTGTATATATAAGTGCTTTGTTAGTTTTAGTAGTTGGATTGTGCTAGTAAAAGTCAGATACAAATTGTAATCACTTTGTTTGTTTTGAATACAATTGGCGCTTTCAAGATTTCTCTCTTTATATTCTGTACTCTCTCTTATCTTAGTTGTTCTTGAATGTTAATCATTGAATCGAGAATTGTGTATTAATTAATCCATATATGGGATTATCAAAGCTAAGATAAGCTGAAGTAGATAAAAATAGCAATAGCCAATTGAAACATATATGAATATCATATTAATGAATTTAAAGGTTAAATGTTAGAGTCGTTCATTGAATTGTTGATGCACGAATTCGAGTAGCCAAAAACATAGATATCAATAGTCAATAGTTTTGGACATTTGTACTTACTAGTGTATATTTACCATTGTTTATATTTAGCCTAAATTTAGCATATATTTACTATCACTTATATTTAGCCTATATAGTTTGAGGGTAGTTTAGCTATAAATATTCCATCTTCTCTTCTTTTATATTCAAGCTATTCTTTGATTGTTGATTGTATTTACTATTTGTCTATTTTTTGAGTATTTGCTAAGGTCTGGGGTTTTTGTATGCATTTTATTTTCATCTTTGCGCAATAGTTGCTCGTTAAGGTGACACGCTTCAATTGATTAGTACTTAACTAGCTGGTAAAAATTACGCCCAGTGGAGTTACGTTCTGAAGAATTTCCTAGAAAAAAAATACCAAAATAGGAATAAGACTTGATATTATTAGAAGTCAATTTTTTAATTGGCCGGCTATAAATTATGCAAGAATATTTAATAGCTATTTTGCTTCAATTTATTCGCTACAAATCAAAACAATCAAAAAGGACCTCCTAATTTCAATTAGGAATTTGTTGGGCCAGTGAGAAATCTATGTAGGGTTTATGTAATTGATACCAAAGTTAAGCCTACTGATGAAAAGGATAAAGATTTTGTCTATTGATCTTTGGGAGACTGATAAGTCTAAGATCATTACTTAGATTAAGAACTCTGTTACGCAATCCATTGGTACTCAACTAGCTAAGTATGGTACGGCTAAAGAAGTCTAGGATCATTTGGGTAGACTTTACATCACTGGTACAAAAACTTACAAGGGCCAAGGTTAAAAATGGTGGTTGTAGGCCTTTAGCCACAATTTTTTTTCTTCAATAAATCCGTAACCTATTCTCGTGTGACTTTTTGTTAGACTCCATAATTCCTTTTAGTAAAAGTAATAAAAAATGTACAAGTATGGAAGTCTGGAGACTCGATGGAAGACGGAGCTGAGAAAATTCTAAGTGCTGAAGACAAACCGGAGATACAATGAAAGGTCCAGAAGTGTTATGAAGACCTGAAGCACTTAACCTGATAATCATCTACTTATGAAGAAGTTCATCAAGTCGATGAACTAGCATTTCCATAACCCCTCTGGTTTACAACAACTAAAGAATCGTCAAGTGTCATAGTTCAATCAGATCTACTCTGAGCAAGCAGATATGTGAAGAATTTTGGTTGAACACGCTGCCTAACGACAACTGCAGATGACTCATCGCCAACTTGAAATCCGTTACACCAGGTAGTTAGAGATAATTTCCATCATTCTAGATAGATATCTCCTCCATGTTTATCTCATAGATATCTCATACTAGATTGTTATCTCTTAGACTAGATTGCTAGTATAAATATAATCCATATGTCTTGTAATCAAAGTAATCCTTCTCGTTATCTTTATTATAGTGAAATTACTTGAAAGCTTCATACTTTCTTGAATATCATCGAAGTTTGTTAGGACTGAGAAATCAGTATTAATTGTATTCCTCTTGAAAGTTTATAAATAGTCTATAATTGTAAAAGTCAGCGTGTTTGACTTTTCTTATAGAAGTTTGACTTTGACTTTGTTAGTAGGTTTGACCATATAAATAGGTTAATCTTTGTAAGTAGGAGAGAGGAGTTCATTTGTAATAATTTCATACGTAAAGAGAGTTTGACCAAGATTGAGTTGTTGACTTTTCCTCTCATTGTTCTTAAAGTTCATCTTAGTGTTCTTACATGAATTATCAATATCTGCCATGATTATTATGATGATATGAAGATTGATCAGTGAAATTGGACTCACAATTTGTATCAGAGCTGGAATGCTAGAAATCAAATAAAGAAATCGAGAAGATAAGTGATTTTTTTTTTGAATTTTTTTAGTGTTCTTGAGTGTTCTTGATTTTGTTTTGTTTTTTATCCGATTTTTCTTAAAATCTTGTGTTTTTGTGTTAAAAATATGATCAAAATGCTCGAAATCGTGTTGTGAATTTTTGTTATTCACAAATTTTTGTGATTTGATCAACTCAAATCAAGATTTAATCGGTTTTTTAGGATTTTAAATTTTTTTCGTGTTCTTGAATTTTTTTTAAATCAATGTTTTTGATCCATTTTTTTAATTTTTTTTTAGTTTTTGTGTTTTTGATTGTTTTGATCTGATTTTAATGTGTTTTGTTTGGTTCAATTTTGTTAAATCGTCCAATTTTAAACCGTACAAGGCCCAACCGGATTAGGCCCATCTATTCAATCCAGTTCATTTCAAGGTTCTCTGTTTAAGCGTGCGGACTGGAGCTAAACCGTAGAAGCAGGATTATTCATCGTGCATAAATTGGTTTCAAGACTAAGATTACACCGCACGAAGCTTAAGAGGAGAAGAGGTAAACCGTTTACCTCTTGAACGGATTTCTTGAACGGATTAAGCTACACCGGACGATTTCAGGTAAGTAGGTTTTCAATTTTTTGAGCGGTTTACAACTAAACCGTTTACCTCTTGACCGGAGTTGTGATCGGTTTAGTTTTAGTCTTGAGCGGTTTAGGACTTATAATTTGTGCATCGAAGTATTTTGAGCGGACTTCTAATCCGCTTATTTCCTCTTACCCAGTTTCTTGATTGTTCACCGTCTCTTGAATCATTTTGATTAATCGCTCAATACCTTGACTGTTTTGACAAGAATCAATTCAATTTTGACTGTTTCTATTGGGATTCTTAATCACTAATCAGGTTCTAGCTTGTCTATGTTTTCAAGGTAAATCGTTTACTGTCAATTTTTTTTAATTTGCTACAATCTTGTTCGATTTCACTTTGAGACCATATCATCTTGATCGATTTATCTGATTTGAAGTTCATCTGATTTGGGTTTTATATTAGTGTAAATTGTTGGGTATTGTAAGAAGTTTTGATTGAAATTGCAGGTTAGACAGATTTAGAAACCACCTTGCTTTGTGCAATTTTAATTGATTTAAGATCAAGCAGTAAATGGATTATGTTTCATGAATGAATTGTGTTAAACATATTTTAAGCATATTTGAGCCGACTGTTGTTTTGTTCTGTTTAGGTAGCATAGTTGATGTTTCTTTATTGTTTTGAGGACTGTTAACTCTCTAGTAGCAGCAGCAAATTTGGATCATTTTGACAGCTTCTATTAGCTACATAGGTTTTGGGTTTCTTAGTTGATGCCAAGCAGCTGTGTTGGTTGGTTATGGTATAGCACGAACAGGGACTTCTGCTTTCAACGAGATGAGAACTGCATAACAAAAGACTTGATCGCTTGTTTCTTTACTTGGTTCAGTTTGGAAATAATTGCTGCTAGTTTTGCTCAAGTTTTAAGCTGTCTGATTTAAGTTGAGTTCAAGTCTGTTTTGAAAGCAACAAATTGTCCAAGCAATAAGATAGCTTCCCTTTGGTTCTCTCAACAGGATGACTGTCTAGAAAACCATCAAGTTTTACATGCTTATTCTCGTATTCAGATCAATACAGGGGCACAATCATTTTGTTGAGCTTACTCAGAAGAGTTAAGTTGTTTTATACTCTGTCTTCAGGACCAGCAGCAGCAAACAGATTTTGCTGTGATGTGTTTAAGCAGCAACTTCAAACAGAACAGCAGCAACAAAGGTTCATTGAGAGAGTTGAAAAAGAGTACCAAGAACAGGTGACAGGTTATGTTTTGCTTTTGGGATTGTAAGTAGCAGCTACACAGTGTGCAGCAGCAGCAATAGCATTGCAACAGGTTTAACCATTGTGACAGTGAACAAACTGTTTTACAGCAGAAACTGTTGGTTTTGCAACTGTTGGTTTGGAAGCTGTTGGTGTAGAGAAGAAACAAGAACTGCAGCAGCAACTTCAAAGCAAACAGTCAGCAATAGTAGCCCAAAACAGCAGCCAGTGTGCAGATTGTTTGAGTTTGATTTTAAAGTCTGAAACAGCAAGCAGCTCAACAGATTTGTGCTGTGTTTGCTATTTGAGTTGAAGCTTTACAACAGCAGCTCAAGTGTTATTTTAAAACAGGTAACAACAGGTAAAACAGGTAACAGCAGGTTGTGTTTGGACATCAAGTTTTGTATTTGTTATCTGTGTTGTGTTTGTTGTGTTTGACAGCAGGTTGTGCTTACTGTTTTAATCAAAATTTTGTATTTCTTGTTTGCTGTATGGTGTAATAACAACAATAGTGGACTGATATTCTTTTGTGTACATTGGTTTAACAGAAGCAACTTATTTGTGATCTTGACAGCAGGTTTGTATCTGTGTTGGGAGTGTAGTTATTGGTGTGGAGAAGAAGGTTTCAGCTTAGTCTGTATTGAGCATTTTGTCCCAGCAACAGCAAGACTGAAATAGCAATCCACAAGTCTTAACAGCAGCCGAGGTAAAGTAAACTGTTTAGTATTGAGTTTGAAACYGAAGCAGGTTTGATAGTCAATATTGATTACATTCCAGCTAAACAGGTACATTGTTTTTAACTTTGTGCATTATACTGAAACAGTAGCAGCAACAAGTTAATTGCTTGACAGATTTTGAATCAAAAAGATTGATTGTCAAAGGTACTTAATTGATTTTGTTTGGAATAGCTGATTTAATTCTTAAACTGTTGTTGTGACAGGTACATCAAAGTACATTTTGGAAGGTTTTCAAGCATAGCAAGGATTGGCTTTGTGGGATTAAGATCAAGTCACAGCAGCCCAAGTGAAGCAACTGATAAGCGAAGCATACAAGTGGATATTTGGATAGAATTTCAAGTGTAGATAGAATATTTTTTAGTTCTTCATCTGTATTGTAAAGCGTTGCTCTTGTGATTGGTTTGGACAACTCAGTTTGGACTTGGTTTATTGTTTTGAACTATTTTTAGTTTCTTAGTTTGTTTGTGTTTAGATTTTCTTTTTGGATCATTGTATCTCTGTTTTTGTGTGTGTTTTCAGTGTTTGTGTTTTTATATTCCTTTTGAGCTTAACTGTTCATATTTCTTTTATCTGATTTCACTGCATAGATTCTTAACTGTTCAATTTTTTTTAAAATGGCAGATATTCTAAAGAAAGAGAATCAAGAATTGAGAGCTAAGTATGCTGAGCTGGAAAAGAAATTTAAACTTCAGATTTATGTTGATGTGAAATGTAATGAAACTTTGCATCGAGAATATAAAGAAAAGATAGAAAAAGTTAAGGATGAATCCAAATATCAGATAGATAAACTTAACAAATCCTTGGATGATATTAAAGTAGAATTTGACAAAGAAAGAAAAACAAGGAATCAATCTTATAAAGATTTGTCCAACAAAATTCCAAAAAGTTCAAATTGAACTAATTGCTGAGAGACACTCTCCAAGGAGTAATTCAGATATCAAGAATTTAACTGAGAAGTTCCACAAGACTGAGCATGAGCTGACTGAGTTTCGGAGATTATTGGGATTAGAAAAGGAAAAGGTTTTACAAGCTGAAAAGGCTTTAATTGATGAAAGGACAGAGATGGAGATAGAAAGGAAGAGGATTATGGAAGTTGAAAGAAAGTTTGGAGCTGAACGAGAATCTTATGAGAATAAGATTAACTCTCTCGAGCTAAACGCAAAAATGCTTCTAAAGCAAATCTCTGATTTTGAGCAGCTTATCATTCTGGAACGAGCCAAGAATGATAAAGAAAAGAAAGACATTTCCGAAGACTGTCAGAGCCAACTACAGAAACTGTCTGAAAGCATTGATTTAAAGCAAAAGGCTTTAGACGAAGAGAAAAAGCAGTTTGCTATTGAGAAAATAAATATTTCAAAGAAGTATACAGCAATTGCTAAAGAACTTACTGAGGAAAGAAAGTGGCTTGACATTGCTTCGGAGAATGACAAAAGCAGCTCAGATGAAGAGAAAAGAGAGTTAATTAGTCAGAAGAAAAAGTTCGAAATGCTTCAGAAGGACTTAGAAGGTAAACTCCTGGATACTTCAAAGAAATTGTCTGATCTAAAGACAGACCTTGAAACTGAATTGAACATGAGAACTGAACTGAAAATTAAATTTGATTTAGTTACTGTAGAACGAGACCAGCTTTTACAAAAAGTCAAAGAATTTTCGTGTGTTCAAAGTTCAACTGGTTCTCCTTCTCARTGTAAAACCAGCTTTTATAATTGTTCATATTCGAACAGTTATTCAAGTAGTCCTAAATCTAATGTTTCTAAGAACTATTCTCGTTCTAATCAGTACTATCAAGGGTATGTCATTGGATCACCCAATTAT